ATACTCGAAGCATATTCGAGAGGACCAGAGTTCGAGCCCCGGTAAGAGCACTATATGTTTTTCGATATTCCTACATTTTGTTAACATTAGATTCTAAAACTCTAAAACATAGACATAGACTCTAAAACTTAAGTGACTAAAAGTAAAGAATTTCTTAAACTGAAAATAAAAGTCAGTAGCAAATGAATTTTTGATTGTCACTTCCGTCGACAAAAAGACAGATAGCATTCAAGAGCTTGAACATAATCTAAATAATGGACCCCGATCTAAATCCGTGTACAAAGTTTTGTAGAAGTAATTGTAGAGCCATTAGGTTATTTCGAAGCAGAAGACGTGAAAAATGAGCAATTTTCTAGCCGGGAATCGAACCACGGACCTCTCGAATACGCACTAAGCATGCAGACCACTACACCACGAAGGCGGGTGAAATACCTTATATACTGCCCCTTTTAAAGGGTGACTGGGGTTTTAGAGGACTCAATCGCCAAATCCTGGTAGTGCAGAATCATCATCCACCACCCCTTTTAGTTCGGGCGCCACTGTAGAGACATTAGGTATTTTTTAGAAGACGAGAGATTAAAAAATGAGCAATGCCTTCGCCGGGATCGAACCACGGACTTCTCGAATACGCGCCCGGCGTGCTGACCACTACACTACGAAGGCCTGCTAAGAAGGCGGGAGAAATACCTTTTACAATAAACACTGAGGCGATACTAATTACATAATGTTCTTGACATGCAGAAATTACAGTTAACATTTATCTTTATACGGAATTCAAAATGTTGCTAAGCTATTGTGGTTTTATTCTGCTACCAAATTTAACGAGTATTTTCAATATACCATTTCAAAAGAAGCATTACAGTTTCCCTTAAAAGTATTGTGATTATTTATTGTTCCGTTAATCGTTTCGATGCTGCTTAATAGCCAAGGTTAATAAAAGAATTATGCTGTTATGTTTAATTATAATAAAAGAAAAGAAATCCGCAACCTGAATTTTTACATCCCAGGTTTAATTTCTCAAGGTTGTCTGTCGTAAAATTTATCTTAGCATTATAATACAAGCATGCAAAAATTTAAGGCTGTTTTTTTACCTAATACCAGTTTGCTTTAGAAGTTCTCCATGACAGCATCTCTCTCCATCCCATATAGAATCGCTTTATAACGGTGTTGCTCCCCTATGAAAGTTGGCTGTTGTTCGGAAAACAGAAATCTTCATAAAGGTACCGTAGTGTAAGGAAGAATGCGCAAACGGAAGATCAATTTTTCACTTGAAAGTGATCGTTCGCACCCTTATGGTAATCCGACATTTTGCGTAAAGATCTGCGTTCCTTTACAGAAGTAGCCAAGCGTGCTTTCTGTATATGCAGATTTGAAACATTGAATAAACTAGAACAGTGGCTCCCAAAACATGAGTTAAGGAGTAAAAAGACACTTGAGCATTTTTTTGTTTTTGTTTTACAGTTATATATATTTATTTAAATTATGAATTAATTTAGAGGAAACAAAATTAAATAGGATATTTAAACTAGTAGAAAGAAAATATGAAAAACTGAATATTTAATAGAATAAGATATGGTGTAAGTCATTTTGATTAAATTTACGAGCTATAGTCATTCCAGATCCAAAAAGAAAGATCTGGCCAAAAATGTATATATATATAAATCATTTTTTTATTTTTACCCCTTACGTTTCTTCAGTTTGTAATTTCGGTGAAAATAAATTTTAATTTACGGAAATAACCGAGTCCTCTTCAAAAGAATCACAGCCTGAAAAACTGTTCTAATTGACGAAAACTTCGACCCCTTTATGCCAATCTGGCTTTTTTTCATAAAGGCAGTTTTGTAACAATACAGCGTGTTCGTAAAGATGCAGAGGATTATTAGTAATTGAAATGAAATCGAACTTGCGTAAGGGTGAACGCACCTTTATAAAAAAATATACTATATAATATATATATAAAATAATATAAACTATATAAAATATACTATATAAAACTATATAAAATAACTATATAAAATATACTATATAATATATAACTAATAACCCCAACAGATGTAAAGCGACTTGTCACTATGTCTGGTGACCGCCGAAAACATCGCGGCAAATAGAGTGTGGGCGAAAACATCGTGAAAAAAAACAACGCAAGGCGAAAACGACGTCACGCAAAACACCGTGGGAGAAAGTAAAGCAAGGAGAAAACATCGCAGTTTAAAAACATTGTCGTCGAAAATTTCATAGTAAACATTAAGCCCCTACAAATCATCCCATGGCGATAACATCGCAGACATGCGTTTTCAGGCTTTAAAAATTCGCTTATTCCCATAATGATTTGTGAGTGCAAGAATGAATGAAGAATATTTTTACTTTTATATTTCATGTACCGGGTGGCCATAATTAAACTGACAGTGCTCACAGTGTTCTTTAGTACGATCTATTTGCGAGAATGACGCCACATTTTGTAGGAAGATTAAACAAGACAGACGGCGAAAAAAAATAGTTCCAAAAGTCACCGCTAGGGGAATATTTGGCGCTGTGTAATAGAAAATAGAGTGTTAACAAAATGAAAAATTAATACGGAATAAAATTACCTTTTATTATGGATATGCCTTATGGAATATGGATATGCCTTACAGTACGGTATGGAAAATCTTACGAAAGATTATCAACTTCTATCCGTACAAGATCAGCCGTGTACTGGAGTTACTGTACCCCGACCATGATAAGCGATTGACTTTTGTCTCACTTTTCTTGCCAGAATGGAGGTGGATGATGCTTGGCCGTGATGGATGATCTTATGGGAAGACGAGGCCCACTTTTACCTGAATGGAACTGCGAATACCCAGAACTGCCGAACTTGGGATGACAAATCACCACATGCAGTCACAACAATTCCCTTACATTCACCAAAGTTAACTGTTTGGTGTGGGTTCACAGCGGAATTTATTGTAGGTCCATTCTTCTATGAGAACATTACCCCGACAGGATCGGAAACCTGTTCTGTTACCGGAGAGAAATATCGCCACATGTTAAACAGCTTTGTCATTCCAGCACTTCAGCAGAGACAATGCCTGGGGGAAATCATTTTCATGCAAGATGGAGCCTCTCCACACGTTGCTGTACGGGTGCAACAGATGCTACGACAGAAATTCACAGCAGAAAGAGTCATTAGCCGCTACTTTCCAACTGCATGGCCACCTCGGTCGCCTGATCTTACCCCATGCGACTTCTGGCTATAGGGTTACCTTAAGTCCAAGGTATATCAAGGAATGGTCCAGGACCTGGCTACGTTGAAGGATAACATATCACCGACTGTACGGGAGATTCCTGCAGACATGTTACTTTCTGCTGTTGTGCATACTGTGCACAGAGTGCAATATATGGTCCTCAACAACAGCAGCCACATTGAACGTCATTTGAATGCAAAATAAAAGGTAATTTCCGTATTGATTTGCATTTGTTAACACTCTATTTTCTATTACACAGCGCCAAATATTCCCCTAGCGGTGACTTTTGGAACTAATTTTTTTTCGTGGAATCCTTCGTCCCCCGTCTTATTTAATCTTCCTACAAAATGTGGCGTCATTCTCGCAAATAGATCGCTGTGAGCACTGTCAGTTTATTTATGGCCACCCGTTATTTGAATTCACTAATAAACTTTTGCTCAAAAAATGAGAAAAAAATTTAAGCATTCAGAAGCTGAAAATAAGTAGAAAAATAATAGGTACAGTCGTTAATAGAATTTAAATTTGTATAGTTAAATGATAAATGTCCATTAATTAACTAACCCCTTTTATAAAATTTTACTCTTAAATTTTCATGAAAAAATAGTCTAAAAAATATTAGAAAAATGAGTAACTGCTTGTGGTTACCTGTATTAAAATTGTTTAATTAATTATCAAATTTTAAAAGAATGTTAACTGCTGTAAGTAACATTAATTTTCTACTTATTTGCAGTTTTTGAATGCTTAAGTTTCTTTCTTAATTTTTCCGCAAAAATTTATTTGTTAATTCAAAATATAAGAGTAAAAATATTCCTCATTTCTTCTTGCGCTCACAAATCATTATGCAAATATGCATTTATAACTTTTAAAGCCTGAAAAACGCGTGTCTGCGATGTTATCATCCAGCGATGATTTGTAGGTACTTTATTTTTTACCACGATAGTTTTGACGATGATGTTTATAAAATGAGAAGTTCTTGATTCCGCTTTATTTTCGACGGCGATGTTTTGTACTACGATGTTTTCTCTTTGCTTTCTTTTCTTCCACGAAGTTTTGTACGACTACGTTTTCGCCTGTAACTCTATGTCTGAAGTAACCAACAGAGTTTAGAAAGTAAACGCACTCTTATCAGTTATCTCTTATCACAATATCAGCTCGTGGTGATGCAACGAAACAGAATAGTAAATTTAAGTTAAACGTAGAAGAGTAGTTAAAAACTACACAGCTAAATATTACTGGAATCTGGCTCAGTAATTCTACCAGAGCGTTCAAATCAAAGTGTCGGCAGCGATAATAACGTAAAGCCGAGTAACTTCCAGACTTGGCAGGAAAGTTATACGTATTGTGCGCAAGGAGCCAGAACACATGCTTTGTCTTAAAATCCGAAAACCTCAGTTTTAGTACTGGTTATTACATTCGCATTCTGGTGAGGATAAAGGAAAAGAGAAGTTATAGTAAAGATCAAAATCATAATAACTGGTTAATTTAAATAATAAAACTACATCTGAAATACTTTTCTGATAGTTTTTATAACTGGTAAGAGGCTATCTGAAAATGATGTACAGTAAAATCATAACTGTAAAGCTAGAAATAAAAATATGATAAATTTAGTAAGCGCCTTTTTTTCATTTCTTCATTCACTCCAAACTTGAAAGAGATGTAAAGCATTTTTACCGTTAAATATACCTTCCATATTTATGATTTTCCTTGAGTTTTACGGTCTTTTAAAGAGATAATTAATGAAACTTTGAATATTTAATTAGAAATGAGATAATAGTATTTAGCTTAGGAATTCACTTTTTATTTGCAATAAATATTTTATTTCAGTTTAACATTGATGATACAAACAGATCTTCATTCACTTCTTCAGTCGCACTCTCGAAGCTGGTATCGGATGTTATCCAAAGCTATTATGCCTTCTCCATCAGATTTTCTGGTACGAGCGTCTAAAGAAAACTGGAAAAAAAAGAAGAAAAAAAAAAAAAAAAAAAAAAAAGAAGAAACTATTTATTACCTGCACAATTGCAATCAATATATTTTCCTTTTTAGAAGAGAAAAGTGCTGTTGTTCTAATTTTTGGATGTTTTTACGCTGCTTATAACCATTTCAAAATTTTATTTGTATTTAACAGGAACATAATTTTTGTAAATACATCATCAGAAAATATTTCACTGCTACTTGCAGGCAATTTGTTTTTCATCATAAAAATAAAACATAACAGTTCTATTGAACTTCTGACTACGCAGTCCCCGGTAGATAGTCTTTACCGCAGTTTTAAACTTTTTCTAAAGCTTAAGTTTTCACTTTTTACTTCCCTGTACGAAGTAAAGGAAGAATTGTAATCTCGAAAAATGTCGACAGAATTTCGACATATTTCAATAGAAATATCAATTTTGACCGTTCCCGATACCATATGAATTTTTTTTTTTTCCCATCACGTCTGTACGGGAGGTCAGAATAAAGGATGAACAACTTTAGAAATTCAGAATTTAAACTGCGATTTAATTTCCCTGATTAAATATTCAGTCAGAAAAAAAGAAAAAAAAATCGGTCTAGCTAAATAAATTTCGAAGACTTCTTATAATTAAAAATGAGGACCGGTGGCGCAGTAGCTACCGCGCCGCGCAACAGCAGCACATGTCCGGGGCTCGATCCCCGGGCTGGGCAAGGTCGACTCAGCCTTTCATCTCTTGAGAAGGTCGATAAAATTAGTATCATGTTCGCTTGGGGACCAAACACCGGTCCTGCGACAAGCCGACCACTTGTCCAGGCAATATGCAGAAGCACCCCGAGGCTCACGGTCTAGAAAGCAGATATCAGGGCACTGCCGACCAGGGCTCTCTAAGGGCTGTTTGTGCTACCGAGTTTAGTTTAGAGTTTATAATTAAAAATGGTGCCCATCTCTCGAAGAAGTCCTCATTTTCATTTATACAATGATCTCGATTCGCATCACGACTGAAATGCTGCATGGAAGACTTGTGTAATTTATCAAGAATAAGTTCCTGATAAAGTATAATATGGTGAAGTGTATTTAGCACTCTCTTTGTGATTCTGCCAATTCGTCGAATATCCATTCTGGTGGAGTATACTGCCAGCGTTGTTTTTGTTGCTGCACGAAAAACTCTCAGCAATTTTCTAGGGCCACCTACTCGTCCTTTAGGTTGCTAAAGTAAATCTAACGAACAAACCTCTCTCATAAAATTGTTCCAATCAACTGTAATATTTTAACAGATGTTGAGCTAGTTATCGCACCATTTAAGCGACGTTAGTTCCTCTTTCCAACAATAGTTGAAACTCTGGGCTGTTACGATTGATATTCAGAAATCACTAAACCAATTGTCGGATCGAATGCCAATTTTTTGTTTACAATTTTTCACACTGCACTTCCACATACTTTCCTTTATAGTTTCATTTCGTGGCCATTTACGCATATTCGATTGCGAAGTAATATATCTTTTTTTTCCTGGAAAAAGATATGGCATCTTTCCACCTCCTTGGTAATTTTTTACAGTGTTTAAATTGAAAAAAAGACTGTCACGATATCATACGGTTCACTAAATTTTTGAAACTACCGTTTTCTATATAATTGGGCGGTTTATCGCGGGGCCGTCAAAAATCAAGTAGTATTACGAATCTTAGATTTCCAGATCAAATAAAGTATACGACAAGATACACCAGATTTGTGCGATTTACTTACTTTAACATCACCCTCCAGATCGACATTAATTTTGACGCTTTGCCATTCATCTTTCTTATCCACGTGTTTCATGAGGAGTTTGGATGTGTTAATGTTGTGTATCATAACATCCAAGGCCACCACTCCCCCGCCATTGAAGTATATATCGAATTTGAAGCAGGCTTTCTTGCGACCATAAGCTCCAAAGAAAGGTGTAATCAGGCGCACTTTACGAAAAGATGCATCTGCCGCGTTTACAGCCAAATAACTTCCTGAAAATGAAATGAATAAATAAAATCAGAATGGAGAAATGAGTATTAAGTTTATTATTATTTAGCTTTAAATTATAAAAGTTGAATTAAAATAAAATCGTAGACCAAAAAGGAACTCATAAGTAATAATTTATAAGGAGTCACCGTGCCTTAAAGAGAATTAAATTCAATGTAATCAAATGGTGATGATATTTTAATTCACCCCCCCCCACAAAAAGTAAAATAATTGATAAATTTAATAATTTTAGCAAGTGACTTGTAATCTTTCATCGGCAAAGTATAGCAAATTAATCTGTTTTCTTCTACACTTAAACAGTGTTGTGTGCATTTGTATCTCTCGACCAGAACAGTCTCCAGACCTCACGTCTTCCCTTGTATTATAACAATTTTGTATCTACAAGTACACTCTGCACACACACACACGAAAAAAGAGGGGCATTGTTGTATCTCCCTTTCTACTGGGGTGGTTGATGAAATTTAACTTGCGTTTTTCATGCCTGGAAAGCGCAACTTAGGGTATATATTAGATTTATATATAGCATTATTCTAACATAGGTATTTTGACACAAAATCGCGCACTTTTCTGAAATGACATACCGATTTTTTCCGTATTTTGATTGTACGACTCAAATTATGCCTAAATCAAAAATTTATCTTGGCGCACTTTTTTCAGTTTGAGCCAAGAATAATTCACTTGGGGAAATTTTAGTTTATGGTAACCTACTTTCCTTTCCCTTTCATTATGCACGAGCGAAAAAAAATTTCATCGTTCATTCTTTCAAATAATTTCCTTTATATTACATTTTTTAATCGCAGTTGTTATTTTTAGATCCTTAAACCACATTTGGCGCTATTATTCCTTAAAACAAAGATGCCAAATTTCAAAATACGCCAGTGTGTAAATTCACGTATATCTTAGGAAATTTTAAATTAAAAAAAATTAATTTTTTTTGCAGATATGCTTAGAAATACATCTTCTTTAAGATGATGGGAAAAATTTTATAGGTTATAATTCAAAAGCCTTTTCGAAAAATCTATAAAAATTGCTAAAAATACAAATTTTAAAAACAAATCAGAAAACAGCTGCGAATTTTATTTGGATTGAGCATAAATTTCGAATTGGTAAAGAAGGATCAAGTTAAGTTTAATAAAAAAAAAGGCATATTAATAAATATAAACCAAATTCAATTAACATTGAGGAGTTAAAACTTTGAGAGCTAATTTTTTAATAACTACTCGTATGATTTTTTTCACAAAACTTGGGGCGCATCTTTATAATTTCAGTCGTAGAAATGAAATATGGAATATAATCGGTATGTCATTTCAGAAAAAATTCGATTTTATGTCAAAACGCCTATGTTAGAGCAATACTATATATAAATCTAATATATATCTTAAGTCACGTTTTTGAGTCATGAAAAACAGAAGTTAAATTTCGTCAACTGGCCCAGTAGAACTGGAGATACAGAACAATCTCTTTTTCTGTGTGCAAAGGTGTACGTCTTTGCCCTATATTAGAGCAATTTTAGGTTTAACATTTGGGATGCATTCGTATTATGTTGGGAATTTAATATAAGGAGTGGAATTTCATATTTGGATAGTATAGAGTTAACGGAGGCTTATTTCTAATCTGAAACTAAGAGTGTGGGTTCGAATCCTGTACTTGGCTTGGCTTTCGTGTGTGGTCCTTTCCCTTCTATTTGGGTGTGATGTCGATCACTCCTATCGGGCACCTTGGACAATATTCATAACGATGAGACGGCTAAATGATAGTGAGTTAGGCCATAATGCTGTCCACTTAGCTTTGAACTACAGTGGAACTTCGAGATACGAGCACCTCTATATACGAGAAAATCGAGATATGGGAAAAGTATGAGCGAAATTTCGTCTCTAATGACCATTGACTGGAGTAACGAGCAATGAGCCAGGCTGTTGGTATGCTGGCGCGTAACCCGATCCGGCTGGACTCAAGGAATCCCCTTGAAGCTCAAGGAATCGTCAGATCACTCAGTGTTCTTTGATCTACGTGTGAGTTAATTGTTTTTTACATTTGACGTTAAAATAATTATTTCACGATGCTTCCCAAGAAGATTATTGCCTCAGATAGTGTTGCAAAGAAACAGAAGGAAGCCATACGTAAGAAAATCACCTTAATAAAATAATGCGTGGGCGCATCATGAACTTGTGTAATGACAATATAGTGTCGCATTTTAGAGGCATCTTAAAAAGGAGACAGAGTCAAGTGTTATTAGATAAGTTTTTGGTAAAGCAACTTGCAACTAAAAGAAAGTGATTCTGACCCAGAACCTGCTTCCAGTGGGGTAAAATTCCCAAGAAGAGAGAGCCTCCCTGAATCAAAAGAGGACTCCCCTTGTTCATAGTAACCCGTTTCATCTTCCCCACATCCCTATCGCCAGTCAGGACTCTTCATAAAGGTAAACTACGGTTATATTATTTACCAGGAAAATTGATTATGTTGATATTTTTGGGGGTGTGGAACGGATTGACTGAATTTCTATTATTTTCGCTGGGGAATTTGTTTCTAGATACGAGAAATTTGCTATACGAGCTCAATGCTGGAACAAATTAAACTCGTATCTGGAGTTTCCACTGTACTTTGGGCTTACCATTTTAAATCAAATAAGTCATCGGAAACTAAGACACTACAGGTTTGTTTGAACACTCGAGTCCATTTATTTTATATTTATTACACGTTACACATTTCTTGTAATGTTGGTTCTAATATGACGTAATATGATGGTTGAAAATATAAGATTGTTCAACCTCCTCTTAAAACGAATGCAATGTTCTAAGCAAAAGTACTTTTGTATTAGATAAATATAAACTAATTGGAGTTCTGTACCAACTAATAGTTCCGTCGGCAGTCTGTACTGTTCATGCGAAGAATTTAGTTCTTAATTATGAAAACTGTATTTTGATTAGAAACATTATGAAATTAGTAATACGATGTTTAATAATTCTACAGAATGAAAAATTTTAAAGTGTGTGTTTCATATATTGTGAATCTTCTACACTGACTAGAGAACGTACTGAATTATAATTTAATTTAAACGCTCGGTATTTGTAGAAAACACGCATAATTTTATTCTTGTTTGGGGTGCGTTTTCAAAATATTAACTCAGTTATTAAAAATTTGAGGAATACCTTTGAGAAACTGAGTTTATAATTAGCAAATGCAATTCAAATAGACTGTAAGTCTGTTTTCTATTAAATTTTATTAGTTGCTCGTCCGACGTATATGCTGTTTAAAATACTTGAAATTAATTCTACTTCCAGCATTAAACTGTATTAAACTCCATATGAATGCAATAAAACAACACAATGCAATAAATTATGATATACAATTATATATTATATTTTACTATATTTTATTGCATCGTGTTATTTCACTATATGCACGTTACGAAACATTGAAAAAGTCGTACCTGTTCTGCCTCCTAGTGCTCCTTTCTGAATTTTCCAATTCGTTTTCTGGTTATTTTCGTGGTTTACCATACCGCACATATCCACTTCGAAATCGCATGTAAAGTCAGGGACATCTGGGGGTGGTGGGCGCTTATTTCCTGAGAAAGAGTTTTGACATTAGGGACATTAGGGAAACCTAATTTACATGATCATGAGATAACTAGTTTGTATACTGTTTTGTTTTAAAAATGGTATTATTTAATCTATACCTGGGTAGCAATTTTGCTGTTGCTATTGCTAGACCATTTTTTCTAAGATACACAATTTGTATAAAATGGGAAATAAATACATCTGTATGTTTTAATTCAGAATTAGAATTTTCTGCGATTCTTTCCAGTTGATATCAGTTCTTTTTAGTTGATGTTCTTTCCAGTTGATATCACTGCGAAACATTGAAAGTTTTCCTTGGGTTTGCTTTCTAGCGGCTACACTCTACAGGTTTTTTTTTTTTTTTTTTCGTTTATTTCCTCTATAATTAGTGTCTTTCTCGATAGCGTGCCCTCCTCAGGAAAATAATTCCTTTATTCTTTGGTTAGATTCTCAAAAAGATTAAAACCACTGTTACGAATTCTGTATATGTATATATATATATAAAACTAATTTTAGTGAAATTATTTGTACATTATAATACCTCTTGCATAATTATAATATCTCTTGCATAATTATAATATGAAAGATCTCAAGAACGCGAAGCATCGCCGGAAAAACAGGGTTACAGGATAAGTCCATTTAACATTGAAGTAAAATGACTAGCGACGTAGCACCAAGCTAGAGATGGTTTTGGTGACTAATTTTTGTCTCCAGTTTGGTGAGAAACAGCCAAAAGTTGCCAAAATTGACGACTATTTGGCGAAATTTTAGTTCGATTTCTATGTAATCGTAGTTGTGTATGCCTTGCAGCAGTTTCGAGAAATCGAAGGTACTGGAAATTTCTAGGCGGACTGGCAGAAGTTATATAGTTATATAAGACACTTATATAACTTATATAGTTATATAAGACAGCAGAGAGCATCAGTTTTCAATTGAGTTCAAAGTTTCAGAGCACTGAGAGATACCTGTGTGAGCTTACGCACTTGAGGCTTGTAGAACTTCGAAATAACATTAGGTTATTTCGATGCAGGAAACATGAAAAATGAGCAATGCCCTCGCCGGGGCTCCAACCTTGAACATCTCGAACACGCGCCGAGTGTGCTGGGCATTACACCACGAAAGCATGCTAAGGAGGCGGGAGATATACCTTACATAATCCCCTTTTAAAGGGCGGCTGGGGATTAGGGGACACAATCGCCAAATCCTACTGGTGTAGAATAATCATACGTCACTTTTTTTTAGTTCGGGCGCCACTGTAGAGACATTAGGTTATTTTGAAACAAGAAACATGAAAAATAAGCGATGCTCTCGACGGAACTCGAACCTCCCAAAAACGTGCCGAGTGTGCTGGCCATTACGCCACAAAGGCATGCTAAGAAGGCAGGAGAAATACCTTATAAGCTTTTGGTATTGTCTTTTGTGTTTAACATTCTTAGTACTTTGAAATTCTAACTACTGATTGTGCTCTATTATACTGGGAAGAGATTAGGAATAATTTCGGATGAAACGTTTCAGAACTGCCAGGTGTTTTGGAAAAATGAATTTCATCAAGCTATGATCGGTTCGGTTCTATGTGCATTTAATCTATTACGAACAACATACGACCTTAAGAGTACAATGGGAATCTAGCTTGAGTGTTTTTTTATACGATAGTAAAATAAAAGCTGTACACTTATGAATTTTATCTAAGTACAGCACCTAAAAGACCAAAAAGTAAAGTGCTTTAAATGTCATTAAAAAATTTACATGTTTCAGAAGTAGGTAATGAAATTCTGTGCATGACCACAGGCGTAGTAGAAAAGTCGCTTAATGCGAAGATTAAGAATGAAGATAAATATAATCATCATTTTGTCCAAAAGATTTAGAAATAGAATAACCTTATCATTAGAGAAAATTTAATAAACATAAAGACATTGATTTATACAAGTGATATAACGAATTTTATGTAACTTTTTATATACGGGAAAGAATTTTCTGTGCTTCATGGATTATAACTTGAGTTCATAGTTCTTACATGTACATGAAGTACGTTAATTGCTAAAAAGATTCATGATTGCGAAGATTAATTTCATAATGTCGTATTTGAAAAGAAATATGGTAATGCAGAATTAAGAATTAGGTGAATAGGCAACCCTAAATTCTCGTAGATTCTGGAATATGAACAAATGCCAAGTTGCTTTTTGCCTAATTTTAAGGGTGGCTTCTTGTAAATATCCTGGATAAAGCCGTCGTTATGTGAGGTGAATCTTTTTTTAATCCTTTATTAGGATATTTGTTTGATATAGAAACTCAGATGAAATGATAGCGAGAAAGCATATTGTTGTGCGAAATGCTAAAAGATTATATCATATTCTTGCCTGAAGTCCCTCATCCGAGCTTCCCCTCTTTTACGCAAAAGAGTTCATGGGAAGTGTTCAGTTTTGCAAAACATGTGACAATACACACGGTACAAACTTGTGTCTGAAGGTATCACGTTAAATTTTAAAGTCATCTTTACAGCTGTAGAGTTAAATCAAACTCATACTAACAGCTGAAAATAATTACTCGTCTTCTGTCGTAATCTGTTGATATGTATGTATTATTTGAAGATAGATATCAATAAGATTTCCGAGAAACTGTTTTCATCTTCTTTGAATTATTCTAAAACTGCAGACCACGCTCAGAATGACGTGGATAGGGCAAAACATATTTTAAATCTGAACGTAGTGTATAAGTTACAGAATATATTTCTTTGCTTATCTATGGCCTGTAAAATAACAAACGAAAACGTAAATGTTAGAAATTCACGTACATTATAAATTTATAAGAATATTTAATGAATCAAAATATTTTATTTCGCATAATTATAAAATATTTTAATTAAAATAATAATTTCTGGAAGGAAGAAATTTAGGCATAAAATAAAAGCGGAATAAAATTTCTGATCTAGATTTACTACTACCAGTCTTAAGATGCTATGCTTACCAAAGCATTCATACAGCTTGTTGATCCTTCTGACGTCACTATCACTAAGTCCAGGTTTGTTATTGATCAAGCCAATGACGACGCCTTCCTTCTTTGGACGCATAGTCATCGATTTGCGGTCTTTTGCAAAAGCATATTCCCCATATAACATTATAGATTTGTAATCGAATTCTTCGCCCAAAAGGTTGTTCTCCCATGGCTTCAGTTTTAGGAAGTTATGCTCAGAACCTTGAAATAAATAAATGAAATTACAGTTTGTTAATACCAGTCTGTTGACAAACAGATTTTGGAGATCAACAACGCTGTCCAAATTCAGAACATTCCACATGTGGTAGAATGCTTTCTCTAAGCTAAAAGTAGCTTCTATCAATTTTTACGCTATCTCTCATGTACACATTGCATTAAACTACACAGTAATTGATTTATTAGAGTCATTTCTTAATACAATAAGTGTAATTATAAATGAGCAATTTTTCTACCTGGTTTGATATTGTCCCACATAATTTCCAAGTAGTCATCCCTATCTGACCTACTGTGCTCGTGCCACAACCCGATCGCATGTCCTAGTTCATGCACAGCAGATACTTTGTCATGGCAACCTTCACTCAAAGAAATTTCTTGTTCACCACCTTTGCGACCAACAGAAGACCAGCAGCTAAATCAAAGAAAAAATTTCGATCTAATCGATTGAATTAATTAAGCTAGTTGTTGAAACTGAAGTTACTTACCATGAGATGAAGACTTCGGATTTCCTTCAGAAAGCTTATCAAAGTTAAGTGATTAAGTTAAGTGCTCCATTAATCCATTAAAGTTAAGTGCTCTATTCATCCATTCATCGCCTGTCCATACTCTGGCAATAATGCGATACAATGATGGATGATGGTATGAAATTAGTTTTCTTTCTTATTCCTAACCAACACACGATGAAGTAAATTTCTTTACTAAATTCTTTAATTATGTTCATAAGTAAGAGAATGTTTTTCAAATTAAAAACACAAACAATTCCCTATGAGCCGCCTAGACGATGTAGGGGTTAGGGAAGCCTACTGCGGTACCGAAGTACCCGGGCTCGAATCCTGGAGAAGGCCTGGATGTTTGTAAATGTATAATGTCAGTGCGGTATGGAGGCACTCTAAATATGCGTCGAGCCGAAAGTCTTTTCGTGTAGACTGTTGGTAGGAGAGAGTGATGGGAGACCTTCAGACCTCCCCCTCCCGGGGTGCTCTTCCTCAAAACTGGAGTGGAAATAGAAGTCCTTGAGGTTGTGGCAACCATTCTTCCATCAAATCCATGGGCAAGACAGCAACAACAACAATTCCCCATGAACCACAAAGTATCACGTGGGGCTTACAGAAGTAGGTATGAAACACAATACAGAAAAACAATAAAGACAAACTTTAACAAAAAAAAAAAAAAAAAAAACTTTATGGAGGATTATATTAATTACAAATTAATTAATTAATTATTTTACAAAAATAGTCAAAGGCACTTCTCTTGGAAATAAATTGATGAAGATCAGGAGGCCCAGTTAATATTCATATTTTTATCTGTCACTTTTAAGATCTTTCTTTCACTGTCAAATTTAGAACACGTTTTCCTTGCCATCGACGCTGCAATCACAAAAAGTCTCTGGACTCAAATCTACTCATAACTTTCAAAGTTCATAGCCAGTAGGGAAATGGATCATTCTATAACTTGTAAAAGAATGATGACATGGCGATCTCATTTTGATGAAAGGGAAACGTCTCTTAATTAAGGTCCCTTTATTTGAAGTAATGTATTCATGATTCCACAAGTCCACAATAATTTCAGTCATGACTTTCCTATGAAATTGATTTAGGGTTGTCAATATCCCTAAATCGTTTGGTGGCAGTTTTTCCAAGAAAATCGGCTCGTTCATTCTCAACAACACCCGTATGTCCACAACAAATGTAAAAGCAATCACGTTTTAAGTTATGTTTTCAAGTTGTCTTTGAATTTCGATGATTATATTATTATTAGAAGAAGAAATACATTTTCGGATATTCAAAATTGTAGTGCCTTACTCATTTGAGAATTAATCTTCTAGAAATTAAAAATATAGAACGTACAATCTTATGTTTAAAATGAACTCTTCAAAATGAAAAAGCTAAATAGTAGGAGAAAACTTCGCTATGATATAATTTCATTGTAAATTACAGAACAAATAGTGAATTGTGTACATAGTTGATAAAGAAAAGACTTAATTACCTAAGATATATCTATGCATTTATTTCACTGAATCGCTTCGTCACGAAGCTTGCAACAAACATTTTTCTCAAATGGCAATGCTTGTTTTTTTATCAAAAATTTGCGGGAGGAATTAAAGCAACCACCTTGGGGCAGTTCGGTTGTCTTTTACAGAAGAAAAGATAAAAATAACTTATCAGGCGCAAATTCACGATTATCACATGTGCATGGTTGCCAAAGTTTGGCACATTTTTGAACATTTGGCGACTTCTGCTAAGGTGGTTGCGATAATACGTAAATACCGTAAAACTTTGTAAAAGGTATCTTCTAGATATTAAAAAGGCGGCAGGTAGTCTTCTTTACACCTTTTATTAACATACGACAAAAAATATTCAGTTATCTCATCAAAGCGGTTATGAAGGTTACGCGTAACAGATGCATATTTTAAATCATATTAAATTAAGCAATAGTTTTTTTTTCTTACCGTAAAGTCTCATAAAAAATAAGATGGAAGGCAGTACTTACAGTAACTTCATTTGGTTACAAAATAACAATATGATCTATGTCCGTAAAATACCTTTTACTGGCTTTATTTACGGAATCATTGGTCGTAGACATATACTTTCAGATATAAAAATACTTTAAATAAGAAAATTATTCATTTGACGGCAATTCTGAATTAAAGAATTTGTGGAACTTCAAAAACGTAACTTTTACACAGTCCCCCCGTCTCTTATAGTTATATTTAATAAGAGTTTATGCTCATTCCTAAAAAGAATTTGTAACCATTACTACAAAATTCACCAAGATCACGTTCAGAATCGTACATAAATTGAACAGCGAAATGTTCGCACTCATACGTAACTAAAAATGAGAAATGAATTTTGAAAAACGCTAATTGATTAAAACGGTTTTCTACTATGCAGACTGTCGGGAAAGGTATTCATCAACGTATTTGTTTTCAAAAAGGATATACAGAGAACGAAGTGATTCCGTGAATAGAAAAGAAATTAAATATTACTCAGTGACAGTTTTCGGAAACTAAATTTAAGTTTCTTGCAAACAAATATGATTATTAGTTAGTTAAAAAGTATTTGTTATGTTCTTATTTGTCTTTATTTTATTTATTCTACACATGCTAAACGGACGAAAGAAATGTATGGTTTAATATAGTTCTTTCTATTCTTAAAATACTTATTTTATACACAAAATGCACAAAAGAAAAATACATGTTCTAAAAATCCATGAATTAATATCCTTGCATAATTATTATGATAAATATCAACCGACTGTTTGAGTTACTATTTCAGTCAAAACAATTTTAGCTGTCCGCCGAAAACATCGCGGCAAAAATATCGCCGACGAAAACGTCGCGGAGAAAACAACGCAAGGCGAAAACGTCGTGGTACAAAACATCGTGGAAGAACAGAAAGCAAGGAGAAAACATTCTGGTACAAAATATCGTGGTCGAAAATAAAGGAGTTCAAAAACTTCGCAGTTTAAAACCATTGTAGTCAAAAATATTGTGATCAAAATTAAAGTACCTACAAGTCATTGTATGACGATAACAACAGTCACATGCGTTTTCGAGTTTTAAAAGTTGTAAACGCATGTTCGTATAAATGATTTACGAGAGCAAGAAGGAAAGAGGAATTCTTTTACTTCTATATTTCATATTTTTGAACGAACTAATAAATTTTTGCTGAAAAAATAAGAAGAAAATTTAAGCATTTAAAAATTGAAAATGAGTAGAAAATTAATGTAACTTATAGGACTTGAATTTGCATAGTTAATTAACAAATGTCATTAATAAATCAACCGTTTTTTATAAAGTTTTACTTATAATTTTTTTATGAAAAATATAGTCTAAAAATGGTTAGATAAAGGAAGATAAATAACTGCTTGAGGTTACCTCTATAAAAATTGCTTGGTTAATGATCAAATTATTTTTTTGCACATTTTTTATTCTGATAATGTTTTAGCAAAAATTATATTTGTTTCCGGTTATTCTTAAAGTGTTGTTAACATTTTCATGTAAAGCGCGCAATAATTTTTTTTTTTTTTTTTTTTTTTTTTTTTTTTTTTTTTGAATGTCGATTTGTTAGTTACAAAGAAAGTCAGTTACATAATATGTCAGAATGGGATTTCAAAAACGCATGTGTGCGATGTTATCGTCATGCGATGATTTGTAGGTACTTTATCTTTTACCACAATACTTTCGACGACGATGTTTCTAAACTGCGAAGATTTTTAACCGCTTTATTTTCGGTCACGATATTTTGTAACAGGATGTTTTAGACCTGCGATGTTTTATTTTCTCCCACGATGTTTTCTCCACGACATTTTCGTTCGCGAAAATTTCAACTGTAACCTAATTTTACTAATTTTATTATTAATTCCTAATTTTATTATTCAGTTATTTATAAAATCTAATCAAAATTATAACTGAAATAATAAAATTAGGAATTAAATTTCAAACTACTGTTTAATCTGATTGTTTTATTTTCTGCTCCACAATTTTTTCTTTATAGCAAATTTCTCTGAAAATTAACTTAATTTACTTATTTAAAATTATTAAATTTATACAAACTTGTACAAGAGCATACGTACCCTGTGACTATGGTGAGTTTAATATAATCCCTCGTAGAAGCAGTTTTTGGTTGGAATCTGATGCATGTCTTTGATTCATATTCATGCATAGCTTCTTTAATGATATCTTTTACATCTCCTATTAAAAAATTACACATTTGTAAAGTTTTGATTTTCAGACAATGTAATATTTACCAAATGCCCATGCACTTAAATGCAATAATATGAAAGTTATTTTAAACAAATTTTATGTTTTTAATCTATTACATACTCAATTTCCAGTCAATTTCGTAATAAACGACTCCGTCTGGCCAGAGCTCGGCTTCATCAACCACAGCATTCCTGTCCTACAGAAATTTTGCAAGAAAATATTTTATTCTTTTCAGAAAAATGGCGTATGAGAAATGCATATTTTGTTTTATAATTGTGTCTTAAAAATCAGAAAGCCGAGAAAATATTTTACGTATATTAAATTTATACGTATAATTTGTACGTAAAATATTTATATATTAAATATTTTACGTATATTTTACGTATAATTTATATGAATATGGCGTATATTTTAATGGCATAGATTATTTCACCATAGTATAAAGTTTGACTTGTTTTGGTAACATAAATTAACTCCAAACTCCTAATAGGCTGGGAGCGAATTATCTTTGGACTAAAATTACCGACAGAGTCTAGAAAAGGCTTAAATAAACCTTTTTATTAAATCAGAACGTAAACATAAAATGTACTTCTTGTGCTTACAATTCAGACAATCACTTGTTGAGGGATAACATACGGTAGCACGCAAATTTAAGTTTAAATTAAAACTAAGCTAGTTGCCAAAGGCTACACAATTCAGTTTAACACGAAGTTGGCTTATAACCCACGCCGGCGTAATTATTCAAATATCGCTAATTGTAATGTAAGGCTACAAATTTTATCTGAGCTAGCAGCAACTACTAACGTGGTCTCGAGAGGCAGAACACATTCTATCTTACAAACCCAAAACCTTCCTTTAAATACTGTCTCTTTCTATCTCATTTACATTCTGGTAGGGAAACGGAAACGAGAAGTGACAGTAAAGATCCAAAATATAAAATAATTGGCTAGCGAAAAATAATAGTAAAAACCTTACAATAGATTTATCATAGCAATTTGAAATATTATTCATATATTTGTAAATTCTTAAATATATTATTTTTATGTCTGTGCTAAAGAACTTACAAACATGTGACTTCTTAGTAAACTTATTCTTTGCTGTGAACTTCATAAATAATGAACAATGAAATATAAATACATTATTAGTACTTTTCATTTAATTTTTTTTTGAGAAGTATATTCGAATTTCAATTAAAATTTCACCAAATATCATGCTTTTACTAACATATTAATAATACCATAAAAATAATTTTTGTTACACTTACCGTGAGTGCATAAGGATCAATACCAGCTATGTCCCCTTCAAACATGTCTGTAAAAAGTTTAAATAGGAAAGATGATTATCCATAGCCATTAAAATAGGCCCACTTCAAATAAATCTGATTCATAGTTAGCAGCCTAATATTCAAAAGCACTGTTTTCAAAATCAGGAGACACTTAGCGTTCTGAAACATAACATTTAAAAAAAATCTGTTTCTTAAAAATAAACAAGTTTTCAACTAAAAAAATCATTCCCATCTATCTGCATGTACATAAAATGCAAATGTTGGGTTGGCAAGAAAGTAAATTCGGTTTGTACAAATAGAGAGCGTTATGTTAGTTTCGTTATTCTTCTAGTCAGTCTTCTAGTTTTTTTTTTTTTTTTTTTTAAAGATTTATCAGCTGATACTTTTAGATGGCTATAGAAACAAATTCCGGGTATTTTTGTTTACAACTGTTAGTTTACGACCAATTTTAATATGGGGTGCAAAAATAAACAAAATTCAAACAAATTTCGACAAATTTTACTTCTATATTTTCATAAAGGCAAGAAAAAGGTTGAGGCTCACAAAGAGATGCATGAACTAATTTAGAAATCAAACAACAAAAATCAGCGGTATATTTTCAAATTTTTACAGGACTAGTTTCGCTGGTTTTACCAAACCACCATCCTCAGCTGCGGAAGCACAAATGAACAAGATAAGATATAATAATCAGATAAGATAAGAAAGCCTGGACCGAAAATAAGCTAGTGGCGCCATCTGTTGATGAAATCAACAGATGGCGCCACTAGCTGAAAAAGAAAGTTTATGATAGCTATGACAGATAGTTATGAAGTTTATGATAGTTATGAAATTTATGATAGATATGATATGAAGTTTATGATGTTGATTAGAACGCATGTGTCGGAACTGGTTTTAAAAATTCCGTCGAGACTTTTCGCTTGAAGATGACCAACGTTCTGGCCGATCTTCCTAAGTTGATGATGACAAAAATTAAAGCCATATTTGAATAGAATCGTCATATCACTATTCAAAAGATTGCAAAACGTCTAAATGTATCACACACAACAATTCAAAATCACATAAGATGTCTTGGGCTCGTTAAGAGGCTCGATATTCGGGTTCTACATGAATTGAAAGGATCAATATTTGTGATAACCATTTCAAATGCAATGCAGTCGACCGTTTTCTGAAATAAATTATCATCGATAATAAAAAATGGACCATCTTTAATAATATTAATCGAAAAAGATCACGGTCGAGGCATGATGAATCAATACAAATCATATAGAAAACTAAATTGCTCTCAGTTTAGTGGGATTACAAAGATGTATATTTTGAGCTGCTTCCAAGCAACGAAAGGATCAACTCAGATGTTTACTGCCAACAACTTATGAAACTGGAGGAAGCAGTCAAAGAGAAAAGAGCAGATTTGGAAAATCAAAATGGTATCGTGTTCCACCAAGACAATGCGAGGCTTCATACATCTTTAGACACACTTACACTTCTTTATACACACATACTTGGTTGGGAAGTTATGTGGCATGCCCCATGCAGCCTTCGATCGTGTACCATTGGATTATCATTTTCTTCGAAATTTACAAAACTTCTTAAATGGTAAAAATTTCAGTAACAACGATGACCTCAAATCGCACTTGGTTGAGGTTTTTGCTGATAGATACCAAACTCCTATCAGCGCGGAATCATAAAATTACCAGAAAGATGACGAGCGGAAGGTATTTGACTGATTAACGTTTATTTTTTTATATAGAAAAAATGTAGTTTTATTTCACACTAAAAAATCAAAACTACATTCTTGCAACCCGATATTATAATTGATTATTCAGAAACGCATCATATAAATTTCATTTATCAAATTCTATCAGTTTTTACTCAAATTTAATTTGCCCTCTTTCTTCTTAACTTGTATAGGTTATCTTCAAACAAAGAAATGAATGTGAATTGTAAATTAAACTTGAGAAAAGTTGACGATAGGATCGCTTTTCAAAATCGTTTCAATTTTTTGGATTAAAAATTAAGTCTATCAGAATAAATTAGCTTAACTTCTTACAACATATTACAGTTGCCGCAATTAAGTTTTAAATATTCTTAGCTACATTATAAGTAATATCCGTTACGCTATTTTAAAACAAAAACGACTAATTAGCACTGTTTTCAGAAGGAAAAAAGATTTTTTTCTTAATTACTACTAAAGCGACATTTTATCTTAAATATTATTACCTGTAAATGAATGTACATGTAGTTGAAATTAGCAATTAAATGATAATTACCTTCATTTTCCATAGGATTGTTCGCAAGGACGTCTGAAATAAGAAATTATACAGTTTTACTTACAAAAGATTTCAGTATTATAAACTTAACAAATAAAACAAAAATAAAAAAAGATAACAAAGTAAAATAAATTTCGCAGTAAGTAAAATCAACAGCACTAAGTTAAAGATAACAAAGCATTGAAACTTGTATTTGATTTCATTACTATTATAAACCTATTTTAAAATTTACTATGATTGTTATCATTTCTTAATTCTTTTACTTACTGCATCTCTGGAATTTAACTCGATTAACGGGAGCTTAAATAAATGTTATATAAGGCTGACTGATTTGTTAATTCATCATAGCAAAGCGCAACGAAAGGTATTTGCCTCCCTCCGAGCGTTACGGGTTTAGTTCTGAAACTTCGAAGTCCCCCAAAATGTCATGAATAAATGGTATTTTCTTGATTATAATTAAAAAGCGAGTTTCTCCTTTTGTAGCTTGATTTCTTTTCTTTCAATATACATCCAATCCGAAATCGAACGAACACACTTAAAGCTGGCAGAAATTTTTATATGTAATGAATACGAAAGCCACCGTTCTACGCGGAATTTTCCATCCGTAAAGCTGAGAGGATGCTCCTTGGTGGACTTTTCTAGGAAAAACTGCACCGTACTAACATGGGAAAAACTGAGAAACCTTCTGCGATAAGACAGTTCATCAGCCTAGATAAGATTTAGTCATATGCTATTGAAACAATAAATAAACCTATTATGCATAGCGAACGTTATAATGACTGAGAAAGAAAGTGTTATTTTTAAAGTAACTTCTGGAAGGAATGGACCAATTGTTTTGTTTTGTGTGACTGACAGTGTTAACCATGTTTCATAATACCTATGTAATTGTGCATCACCTCCGTTTTTTTTAACTCATGCAACTGTGCAACATAGTAATAGCGTATAAAGATTTCTATAACAGCATTTCTTACATGTAACAGTACAAATTATGTAACTGTGAGAAATCGTAACCTAAGTATCAAATATACGGTATATCACTGGTTTGTAACTGAATTCATAATGTTGTAACATACACAATGCCGAAAGTTGGAGTTATAATCGTCTTTAGCTTGACCTTTGTACAAGTAACTTTTAATCACAAGATTTAGTAACCTTAATTTTGCACTAGATCAAGATCATTATTACTTTGTTTCTTCTTCATAACTGTTTATTTTCCTATTGTATTAAGATTATAATATCTGAATGTTTTTAGTTGCTCCAAGCAAAGATGACAATGTAATTATTCTTGGATTGTGACGCTGTAACTTGATTATGTTAAATTAATGCCTGTCTGATCTGCCTTGGCCAACTGAGGCTGTGGCGGAGCTTGTAGTATACTTCCACTGATCAGGCACTATTCCACTTGGTAATCTTTTAGATAAATAATAAGTGACGGTGGACGTGGGCACTATCCCTTTGCCGTAAAGATTAATCAGTACAGCACCACGTCCACCCTTATCTAAAGTTGGCAAGAGAGGAGCCTTACGAGAGCTATACATTTACATGTATACTATACTTTGTACTTGGCATTACTTGTAATGCATTAACAAATAAAACTAGGTCGGAAGCCTGCTCAGTAGTGCTACAGTGGATGGACAAAAATATGGAAACACCTTGTGAAATGCATGTTTGAAAAGAAAGATTGATTTTAATGAAATATGTAGGTGGCGCTGGCGTTTTTGACTACTGACGCCACCTATACAACTTAGTAAATGTGCTAAACAGTTCAGTTGTTGTCGGAGTACTGTTATGTGAGGTTGTCATTGCATTATGTCAGAGTTAACAGACTTCGAACGTGGGCAAATTGTTGGAGCACGTATGGTAGGTGCTTCCGTAAGCAAGGTAGCCGAGGTGATTAGTGTTTCAAGAGGTACTGTATCGAAGATTTATTCCGCATATTTGAAAAGCGGTAAAACATCATCTGCTAAATCACAGCGCGGACGAAAGTGTGTCCTGAGTGATCGTGACAGATGATCATTAAGGGCAATTGTGACGAAAAATAAGAAGACCACAGCTGCAAAAGTTACTGCTGAAATTAATGTTGTGTTATCGAACCCTGTGAATACCAAAACAATTAGAAGTGGCTTCATAAACAGGGAATTGCTAGCCGTGCTGCAATTGAGAAGCCACTCATCAGTGATGCTAATGCCCGTAACAGGAAAAGGTGGTGTTTAAGTCATAAAGCCTGGACTATAGAGCAGTGGAAGCGAGTAATATGGTCTGACGAGTCTTCTTTCACATTGTTTCCCACTTCTGGCCGAGTTTAAGTCTGGAGAACGCCATCTCAAGCCTATAATACAGACTGCTTGTTGCCAAGAGTGAAACATGGCGGGGGTTCTGTTATGGTTTGGACAGCCATATCGTGGTTCTCTGCTAGCCCCATGATAATTATGTCAGGGCACATGACTGCTAAGACTTATGTGAACATTTTGGCCGATCAAGTTCATCCCATGGTACAAACTTTGTTCCCCGATGGTGATGGTGTCTTCCAAGACGACAAAGCCCCTATTCACACAGCTCACATTGTCCAGGACTGGTTTTCTGAGCACGAGGATGAGTTGTCCCATCTCCCCTGGCCACCACAGTCACCAGACCTGAATATTATCGAACCTTTGTGGTCTACATTGGAACGGAAAGTGCATTCTCGTTATCCATCGCCAACATCGTTATCTGAACTTGCCACCGTTTTGCAGGAAGAATGGTATAATATTCCCTTGGCAAACATACAGGAACCGTATTTATGGTCTACATTGGAACGGAAAGTGCATTCTCGTTATCCATCGCCAACATCGTTATCTGAACTTGCCACCGTTTTGCAGGAAGAATGGTATAATATTCCCTTGGCAAACATACAGGAACCGTATTTATCCATTCCGAGAAAACTGCAAGCTGTTTTGGATGCCAACGGGTTTCCTACACCATATTAAGCAAAGAAACATGTTTTTTTAAAGGTGTTTCCATATTTTTGTCCAACCCCTGTATATGCTATATATGAAGGGAAGGACAGTTACAACTATGCCTTCTACGGGCGTGGCGCGGTACAGAATACCTATATGGGATGCATATAGGCATTCACGCGCATAGGGAAAATTCCGTTCTTGTGATTGGACATATTTTAAGATGACATCATTTTCTCTTCGCGTAATGACTTTAATACGGCGTTCTTACGGTTTTGTTTTCGTTGAATAATGCCATGAGTGACAAGGAAGCGTCAAAATTATCCTTTGTTTTCTTAGAAACGAAAATATTTAACTGCAGCGTTCTGCAGGTGGCTTTCTGTTTCATGTAATAATAAAATTATAAAATCTTTCAAAGAAGCTGTTAATACCAGAAGCAATCTTAAGTGCTTAGATTATATAAATAGCTGAATGAACTCAATGCAAAAACGGAACACGACGATCTCGATCCAACTGTTAAGGCATTGTGTGCTAGTAAGTTGGTTATTATTATCGCAATTTTGCTGCATTCTGTTTCTTTCACATTGCAGAAAATATTTCCTTTGAAAATATTATGTTATTTCCGTGTTAATGTCCATGTCATTATAATATATCTGTTGCCTTAAACGACAGAAAAAAGTGCATTCAGTATTGTCGCTGAATTTAATACACGTGTATAAGAAAAGAAATTTCCTTTTCTGACAAACAGTATTTTTATGCAATGGTACAAAAAATATTACACATTAAAAAATGGGCAATAATTATAAAGTAATATTTTTCAGTTTAAAATACGTTCTATTTCTGTGTTCCAAATATATATTACTCTGACTTGAAAAATAAATTTTACTTTTTCAAATTGATTATAAATATTGTGTACTTGTGCAATTTTAGCTTCCAAAGTCGTATTCGCTATTTCAGGAAAACTAACTTGTCTCATGCTTTCGTAGAATGAATCAGCAGAAAATGGATATATAATGAACATGAAATAATTAATATATATAATGTTAATATAATGAACATGAAATAATTCATTAATAATTCGCAACACCTTTAATATGAAAGGTTTTTAAATTAAGAATACATTTATCAAAAACGCTGCACTTAATATTAATACACATTTATAGAGTTAGCACATGAAGGAATAATACTTTTTCTCTCTAGGAGAAAAAAAAATCACTACATTTTTTATATAAAGTTCACCACACTACAGTGATGTAAGAAGTGTAATCTCACAGAAAAAATAAATAAATAAATACAACGCACTTAATAATCTTTCCGGTACTGCTATCAAAATGTAAACAAACCCAAGCAAAGTCAAGGCGCTCCTAAGCGAAGAGAAAATGACGTCATCGGAAGCCATATCCAATCACGAGAAGGGATTTTTCCGTATGTACGTGGAACGGTACAGAATGCTTATATGCCTCCGGGCTTCGAAGCCATCCCTTTGGTATCGCAGTCGGCTACCCAAACCACTATTAAAAATGAATTAGCGAATACTATCATTTTAATAAATTGGTATTTAGTATTAAATACTTTTAAAAACTGGCATAGTAGTAAAACGTCTAATACAAACTCAGCGTCGCACATGGCTAACAGCTCTCTAAATGGCCTATTCATAAACATTTCGTGTACTAGAGACAAATCACTATTATTTAAAAGAAGGATAAAATCATGAACTGAGAATTCTCGATATACTTATAAGGTGTTTCTCCCACCTTCTTGGCATGCCTTCGTGGTGCGGTGGTCTGCACGTTCAACGCGTAATTGAGAGGTCCGCAGTTAGATTCCCGGCGAAGGCGCTGCTAATTTTTCATCTCTCTTACTTCCGAAAAATCCTAATGTCTCTACAAACTATATGCAATAATTTGTCGCTTCATGTTTCGTAGTCAGCTGCCTTTTATTTATGAAAACAAATTTTAACACTTGTTCATCTATAGAATAATAATTGCTGAAATTAAATGAAAAAAATGTCCTTTAAAGGAAATTGTTAGACTAAGGTTTAACTTTATTTTGAGCAATCATGCAGCCATCTAGCCATTCGTAAATTTGGAATTTCAT